CTATCTCAATTCGTTCGAGAGATGATTACGTGATTACAACAGACAGGAAGACGGACATCGCTAAATCGACTTAGAATTTTACGCTGATTAAGAATATATATACTTTGTTGTGTCTGACATGAGTATTTCGAGGAGTTACAAACGGAATGACAAAGTTAATATACCCTCCATAGTATGGTGGAGGGTATAAAACATGCCAACTATGATCGTTAAAGCAGTTATAATTTGAAGCGGAAAGAAAGTAATGTATGGCAGGCTTCTATCGTATACTACTAAGTTTGACTAAGGCATTTGTGTCTGAACCTATGTTCATCCTTGTTTGTTCCATTTGAGCTGATATTACACTTTTTAGGCATAATAAACGTGAAATCGGTTGAAGAAATATGAGAGCTACATCCAAATCTGAACCGATGTCTATAAAATTAAGCAGAGGTATTTCTATGCTTCATCTGGTAGTTGGCACCAATTATCGTTGTTGTGGAGAGTATTTTACGGGTTTGAGGAAGTAAAATACAAAATTTTAATTTGTTGAAATCGAGAAAGCTAGAAATCGGGAGAAGGTATATATGGGAGCTGTATCTAAAACTGAAGCTATCTCGATAACATTTGTCAATGTAATTCTGAGCTATATTTGATATATTTCTTAGAATCTCGTTGCTACGCTGTGCAATTTACGCATGTGGAGATGGAATTTAACAAATCGAACGAAGAATATATATGGGAGCTGTAGCTATATCTCGACCGATAAATTTGGTGTACTTGCTTCTAGCTGAATTCGGTCGGATGAGCTAAAATTCAAGTAATTTGGACTGATATTAGTCATTTAGCGCACAATAAACCTGAAATCGGATACAGACGGACAAACGGACTGACTAACTATGAAGGTCTCCATATGTAACTATGGATCTATCTCGCTTTCTTACAAAACGCCCAAAGTGGTGTAGGATATAAAAATAATCTAAAACTGAGAAGCAAATTATTTTCTTGTAAGTACTGTGAGACTTGATTATGAAATTGTTAAGTTTTGCTTTAAAGTAATCATTTTTTCTAGCACTGCTATATTAAGAGGTAAAGATTCGCCAAATCTCAAAGACCATCTACTAGCAATATTTTCAGATATTGAAAATCTATGATCTATAGAAAAAAATAAATAAATCGTTTGTATCTGTCGTAGAAGATGCATCATAAAAATCGTTCCAATATTAAGATAACAAGTGAAAAAACATTAAGTTTGGCCGGGTAGGACTCTTAATACCGTCCACCTTATGACCTGCAAAGATCAATTTTTAAACAAATCCGTGAAAAAAGTGGCAAAATGCTGAATAACGGGAGGTACCGTTATATGGGGACTATACCAACAATCCTAGACACAATACAAATTGTTCTGCTAAATTTTGACGCTCTACGTCAGATAACGTGGGCTGTATTGTGATTTCAACAGACAGACAGGCGGACATCGTTAAATCGACTTACAACTTTATGCTGTCTATGACGAATATTTAGGAATGGTACAAACGGAATGACAAAGTTAATATACCCTCCTTTACAAGGTGGAGGGTATAAAAGCATCATATCCTTAATACATTTTCGGTCTGTATACTGTTGTTTGGTGAAGATTCCATCTCAAATCAATTAAGGAAAGGATTCAAAACAATATTAGAAAATTTGAACCTCATATTTTTATACCCTACACCACAAGGTGGTCAGGGTATTATGTCTTTGTGCATTTGTTTGTAACAGGCAAAAGGAAACGAGATAGACCCATAGTTCCTCTTGATGATCTGCATAGAATCACTTTCTGAGTTGATTTATGCATGTCGCATTTATTATCCGATTGAGATGAAATTTTCCAAACAACATTTGTTTGGCCCAAGGACGAACCCTATTGAAATTGGAGATAATCGGTAAAAATTTAGATATAGCTCCCATATATATCTTCGTCCGATTTGCCTTTTATTGTGCACCAAACGTGTAATATCAGCCCGAATAGTATGGATTTTTGCACATACAACTAAATTAGGCATGAAAATAGGTGTGCCAAATTTGATCGAAATCGGTTCAGATATAGCTATAGCTCCCATATATATTGTTCATCCGATTTGTTATTTTTGTCCTCCGCAGCCGTAATATGCACTCTGTAACAAAAATATTTGGGGAAATATATCAAATACAGCTCAGAAATACCTTTGCTAAATTTTATCGAGATCGGTTCAGATTTGGATATAGCTCCCATATATAACTTCGTCCGATTTACCTTTTATTGTGCACCAAACGTCTAATATTTGCACAAATGCGATGGAATTTGGCACATACGACCGAATTGAGTCTAGAAGGTAGTATGCCAAATTTGAAGATCGGTTCAGATATAGCTATAGCTCCCATATATATTGTTCATCCGATTTGTCATATTTGTTGCCCACAGCCGTAATATGCACTCCGTAACAACGATATTCAGGGAAATAAATCAAATGCAGCTCAGAAATATCTTTACTAAATTTTATCGAGATCGGTTCAGATATATATATATATATATATATATATATATATATATATATATATATATATATATATATATATATATATATATATATATATATATATATGGGCAATACAAGTCCGAATTTAAAAGATACAAATGCTTCGGCATATTTATTACTTTGAATTTTAAATTATAATTATAATCATAGCGTGTATGATTGAATTCTCCCATAAAAAGCTTTTAATTGTTATGCGCAGCTCTACTAAATTAGTAAAGTGGTGTAGGGTATCATAAAATCGGCCCCGCCCGACTTCAGGACTTTCTTTACTGGTTTTACATGTATCCCATACATCTGGCTGTACCGTGAAATCATCCAACATTTTTGAAAGAAAATCAAATGCTGCATTTTAATAGACGAGGTACAGCAATACGTGAGCCAACCAACCAATATCCATTTCTGCACCTGACCTAATCCTTATCTAAATATTACGAGATTGAAAACATCTGGGGTTTAAAACCGTTGTTTGGTTGAACCTTCTCTGTAACCATTAAAACTCTATTTCTTTCAAAACTAGATATAGTAAGAAAAGAGAGTAAAGGGGCCTTTCTTATTTTGACGTTTTTCTTCTTGTATTGACGTTTGTCAAACCAGTGTTTACACCAAGGAAACGCTTCTTAGTTCAAATTATTATATTTCATAAAAAACACACTAAAATACATTTCATACAAAATTTATGTTATAATTTGTAACTTAAAAGTTATAATTACTAAAATTTTCTTTCGACTCTTTTTAATTGCAGTGAGGAGGGTCTTAAGAAAGAACATTTTGAGTTTGTTTTTTTGGTATAGAATTATTTTAAAATAGTTTCTCGATAGGAACAATTGATGATCCCTAGTGAAAAATTCGAAACTTCACATAAAAACGCGAAAATATGCATGTTATCGCATTCTTTTAGTTAGGCTTACAACCAAACAACGTCTGGTCTGTTTGTGACAATTCGCATCAATTCGGAATGGAAAAGGATGAAATCGAAATGCATAAAAATACAGTATGAAAAATGTGAATAATTTTGTTAAAATGTATCATATAACTTTATTTTTCGTCCTTTTTGTATATCACATGATTTTTTTTCAATTTTACTTTCTATATTGAATTGAATTGTTCATTTCGTAATACTTTAGTGTTTTAAATCATATTGAAAAAGCTAAGCAAATTAAATAAGTGCACAATAAGATGATAGTTGTGACTTCAACGACGACAACAACGACTACTTTATTTGTAAATAAATTAAGACGTGGGCGTTTTATTTTAGAATGGCGAAATTTCATACAATTTGAACCAAAATGTTAAATTGCAGCCCAAACATTGCATTTATATCCTCCAAGAAACTAAAACGTTATTTGTATATTTTTCAGGGCAACAACATTTTTAAAATCTAAAAGGAAATCAGTACACCGGTGTAGTCAGGTAATATATTTCACGAATATTTTAGAGCTAATTCAGTCGGAATTTGTGGCAGAAACATGCAAAATGACTACAATGACAGGTAGTGTAATGATATGAGGGTATAGGAATTATATATACGTCTGTGCCATTTTCAAAGATAATTCTATAATATTGCGACCTCTTTCATAATCTCAAGGCACTGGCAGTCAGACAGATAGGCATAGGTTAATCGACGTTGAATTTTGTCCTCTTTGTCCCCAATGTATATTTTGCGATATGATAAACTGATAGCAAAACAATTCATCCCCATCTTATGGTTGTTGCCATAGGAGAAAAGTCAACTTGAGTTGTCCTCCCTCAATAATTCGGTGGACAAATCTTGCAGCATGATTTCAAAACGTATCGAATTCAAAATCGAATGGACTCAACATGCTACAGCCCACCCCCAAAGCAAGAAAAAACATCAATTTGGCAGCTGAAAATAAAGGGTTTCTTACGAACGGAAATAACATAAGATTTAAACTTAGGTTAAGACTATAATGTTCTTAAAAATAAGCATTAAACAAGAAAACATTTGGTTTCTTAACACCGTTTTGAAATGATTTAAAGAGAAAAATATTCTTCCTGCCCAAGCATTTTAGAATGGAAGGGTTAAAAGAAAGTGTTGTAAAACGTTAGATAATGAATTACAAATTAAACGAAAAATTGCAACTCTGTGTCAAGTTTTGATGTTCTCGTAAATTATTACATGTTCTTTGCAACACTCATAGAAAGTATTCCATCAAAATTAGATTTCATAACACATCTGGTCACCTTCAATCAAGCAGTGGAAAGATTCTGTCGTATAAGAGTAACTATTGCATGAGACCAAATTTCAATAACAAAACATTTTTCACCACGCCAGCTACAAAACCACAAAACGAGAGAGCCGTATTTTTCTATTTTCTCGCGTAAGGCGACAGGCGCAGTGAGAAAATGACAGAGAGACAAATGGGGATAATGCTCTCGCAGCAGTTTGTTGTGGCACCCAAGCAAATGCACGGTGCCTGACAAATGAATTTTTGGGCAAATGCCGCTGCACGAACTCGAAGACACACACAACACTCAGTGGTATTTCGGTGTCGGGCTACTGGTGGCGCCTTTAGTCAAACGGGCTCCTTGGATACGTTGACATCGTGACGTCGGACACAAAATAGCATTTTCTGGGACGCTAGCATACCGAGCGCGCTGGTGAATGTGTTGCTATATTTATTGCCTGCATTCAATAAATAACAATAAAAGGCCTATTAAAAGGAGCGCAAAGAAAATGAAAGATTTATCGCGGAGCTTTAGAACCGAAAAAATATATCTTCAGAGTTCGTGAACAAAGTGTGGTCGTGTGTATGTGTGTGTGTCCGAATATCCCAGTGGCATAGTAATACCGAGCGAATCTGTGCCTTTCTACGGTTTTGTTTTTTGAAACACTGTTACCACAAAGCACAGATGCTGTTGACACGTATCAAGGCCGACGTGAGTGCTGTTTTAGCGAATGCGGTGTGCGCGGGTTCGTGACGGCTTGACACTATTTGCAAATTGCACGCTGAAGCGAAAAAAGACCCACTTGTCTCCGCCGTTTTGATAAAAATCTATAGTAACCAGCTAGATGGATACGTCCATATGTCTGTTTGAGTGTAAGTAGGTGCGTGTGCCTGTGTGTGGGTCGATCGCAAGTGCAGATGTAATTGTGCGGAATCGTATAAATGCTAAACGTTTTGCCCATCGACGGGAAGAGAGGGAGAGCTAACGACCTCAAATGTCACGGTTTGTGAACGAAGTGAACAAATAGTGTTGGTGCGAAACGAAAGTGAATCCAACAGTTTTAACTTGTGATTATCACTCAAGTAGTGGATAAAACACATCAAAGTGTCGGTCGCCCAGCTTCAGTAGTTCGGAGTCTGTTCTGCTCAGTGATTTATTTTTGTTTTTTATCATTTGCCTACCAAACTCAAACCGAATCAATCAAATGTGAAGGTTGTGTGCAGAGTCGTGACACCAAAAGTCATGTCAAATTGTAAGATAACATACGAATACATAATTTACTCACATAAATACACAATTTGTTACGCAAATATTATCACAGTGATATAAAAAAAAAAACTGTGAAAATATTTTTCTGTTTATATTTGAATATCTGGAGCATACTTTGTGAGCTAGCACGATGCTACCATGATTACGCCGAAGAAGAAGACGACGACGATGCCAACCTCAAAAACAACGACAACACAGTGATAATAATAATAACAGTGATGACAATGATGAAGATGATGATGATGTCGGTGGTAGTGATGGCAATGATGATGATGGTGATAAAGTGTTTATACTGCCAATGTTACGAAAATAATAGCTACAAAAACAACGACAACGTACCCAAAGAAAAATATTCGAGTTGATTATTTGCAAAACGAAATCGATGATAAATTGCCGAAGAGCATACCACGACAAAAAAGAAGGAAAATTAACAGTGATAAAATTCAGTGTGAAAGTGAAAATCTACTCTGCATTGCCAAGTGGCTTAACTGTCTGTCTCTCTGTCTGTCCAACTGTGTGACTGATGACCCTACAGTCACCCACCCACCCGCTGCGTTCGAAAACCGTCGTGCATGCTGTGAAGAATAGAAGAAAAGAGGATTTTCTAACTGGAACTGGAGCTACAACAATAACACCAAATTGAATTGTACGATGGAAATAAAGCAGCTATAATCATTATTCAAAGTAAATTCAAATTAGTTAATATATATTCATAGGTACCCTAGTATACATTCATACACACACGCACACACATATATTTGATGTATGAATTGAATTACAAATCTCGATGTGCATTTGAATTTTTACAGAAAACAGAAAATGAAATGAAAAAGTAATTGAGAATAAAGGATTGCTTTCACAATTATGAAGGAGTTGTAAATTCAACAATCGTTCCAATCGAACTGATCTGGGGAGCAAAAACACGTGGGATAATTGCCATTACGCAAATCGTTATCACAACAAATTGAGTCTGAAAATCTGACTATCAATTATTTATAAGTACACCATTTGTGCTTCTCAACCGACTGCATAGGCTAATTGCTGACCCAATTCCGATACTCTCAAAAATATCCAAAATATTCCATTGTCTTAATACAGCAACTTGTTATTGGATTATGCCTGAGTTTTAATAAAGTAAAATTCCTAAATTATTCCTAGAATTGTCTCCAATAGCTATATTTGCACCGACTCTCTACTTGAATCAATTTTCTAGTTAAATGAACAAATCTATAAATTATTCTTCGCAGAAATTTATTTTGTCAGAACTCTTTGCAGAGGCAATTTTTTGGAAGCAGAAAAGAGATTAGTTCCTGCAAAATATGACAATTAGGGGAATTGAGAAATGAAATGGTTTAAATCCCAGACACGTGGAAATAATTATATTGTGCTCATGCGCATTGATAAATTCATTGAAATCAGTCATACATATCGTGTTTGGTGCATCAAATATGTGAATTTGGCCTAATCTGGACCGATTTCAATATAATTTGGCAAATTTGTTTTTGTACCAAATTCCGTTACTGACTTCAAATTTAATTGGAATCGGACAAACATACAATGATTGGTGCATCAAATATGTGAGATCGGCCGAAAATATATATGGGAGTTATATTCAAATCTGAACCGGTTTCAATACAATTTGGGAAGTTCATTTTTGTACCGATTTCCGTTACACATTCTAAATTTGGAAATTTGTATCTATAACCGATCAATATATATTGATGCATTGAAAAACTAAATTTTCTGGAGGTACCTCCGATATCTCCAAGTGGAATTTCAAACATTTATGTAGCCTATGATACTTTCAGGCTATTCTGTAGTATTTTTGGAAATTTTCAGGAAAATCTGTTTAGCAGTTTTTGAGTCTATAAATTACAAACAAACAAACAAACTTACAAATATTTTCCTCTTTTATACAGGGTTGCCCATATTCGACGGGCCCATCTGGCAACGCCATAACTTTTGACAGAGATGTCACATCGCTTAATGACATACCGCGTTTGAAGCGTCAGTCCAAGCAGATTTTTATCATGTACCAATACACGCCACGCGAGCGCTCTGAAATAGTTGAAATTTACATTCAACAGAAGAATTCAATTGTGAAAACTCAACGTGCTTTTAAAAAATGTGAGAAGTGCGCCTTCCAAGAACATCATTAAGCGTTTATAGGAAACATTTTCGACTGGTAAGGCTCTTTCTAATCCGAAGAGGCCATATAAAAGTCGACCAAGGCGATCGGCCGAGAATATCGCTGTCGTACGAGCCAGTGTTGAGAGGTCCCCAAGAAAAATTCAATTGACGCAAAGAATGTTGCCTGCGGACAAGCCTCGTCGATTGGAATGGGCCCAGTAAGAAACATGGGTCCGTCGAATATGGGCAACCCTGTAGATATAGAAGAAGATATTTTGATTTGTTTTATGATAATATAAACTGTCGGCCTTTTATGGCAGAGCTTCCGAAGGAGGGGCCAAAATTTCCATTTTTTATCTGGCCTAAGTCTGATATAAATATTACGTGTCAGGTTTTGTCCCTATTGAATACTTCCATTACTATTGAAAAATATTGAAATGTGTAGGGAGTACCAAATATAGTGGAACGAATTATTCCATTTCGTTAATTGGAAAACTATTTTCGCTGAGTATTTTTTTTAAGAGAGTATTGAAAATTTTTACATATGTGGAGGAGATACCAGGATGAGTGGGCCGACATTGCCCATCTCCGAACTTGATCTAAATTTCATAATAATGTTACGATGTACCAAGTTTTGACGAAATCGGGCACTCTTTTCAAGAGTTATGGTGCGCAGTCAGACAGACAAACGGACGTACGGACTTCCCTAGATGACTCCAAATGTCCTGAAACGGATTTGGTCCAAAGAGACCTAGGGTCTAAAACCGTTATTTCGATGATGTCCGGCCGAACTTAAGGCAATAAGTAAATTGGTAGCTGGGACCCTCTTATGGCTGTTTAAGATAATATGAAATGGCCTATGTTTTAAATATAACATAAAGCTTATAAAATTTCAAAGGATACTACGTTTGGGATTTCCTGGCCGTTTCACTTTTTAAGACAAAATCCGTTAACCTTGTGCGTTTATTTCACTTTCGAGATGAGCTTGGTGATGTGAAATTCGCAGTGAAAAGGAAAGCCAGACAGATGCTATCCCATACTCACCACTATGCGACGCGTTTCGCAGTCGATTAAGGGGCACATCAGGCATATTTGGAGAGTAGTAATTATTTCCAACTTATTGCGATTAAGCATATGTGAATTATGTAAACACCAGAAACCCTCCACGTTTCACTCAAGTTCTATTAGCAAATCTTTGTCACAGCAAGATTGTTTCTATAGTGATGCATTTTTTGTCCACAACAACTACATTGTTTCCAACGTATACACCTATTATTGTGCTGCTATAGGTAGACGGATTAATAATTCTGAACGTTGATTTTTTGTATATCCTCCACCATAGTATGGAGGGTATATTAATATTGTCATTCCATTTTTAACCCCTCGAAATATACATTTTTGACCCCACAAAGTATATACATTCTTGATCAGCATTAAATTCTATGTCGATTTAGCGATATCCGTCTGTCCATCTGTGGAAATCACTCTAGCCTTCGAACGAAATGAAGCAGGTTGATACAATTTTACTCAAATGTATATTATGTTTGCAGGATTTTTGTATTGAAAATGGGCCATGAAAACCCTCGTTTTGGTATAGCCCCATATATGGTACCTCCCTCTTTTTGGTATTTTGGTGATTTAACAACATTATTGACCGGAAATGTTTCAAATTTGGTATTTGAAGTTCGCAATGGATACTATGACAGAAAATTGTCCGTGCAGGTCCACGCTTTGCATTTAAAGTTCGTAATGGATGCTAAAGCTTATGACAGAAAATTGTCTATGCTTGTCCAGGTCTTCGCACAGCTCCGATATAACGCTACCTCCCTATATACGATATTTTGACGATTTAAGCTACATTATTCACCGTTTATTTTAAGTTTCGAATTTGAATTTGGTAATGACTTATGACAAACAATGCCTATGTAGGTCCACGGCGTATAGACACTAATATAACGGCTATATTCGGTATTTTTAAAATTTTAACAGAATTTTTTAAGGATTTTATTTCCAAATTCGTTCCAAATGGTGGAGGGTATTCAAAGTTCGGCCCGGCCGAACTTACTGCATTTTAACTTGTTGGTATTGAAAATGGGCCATGAAAATCCACGTTTTTGTATAGCCCCATACATTGGTACCTCCCATTTTCGGTATTTTGGTGATTTAAGCGACATTATTGACCGGATATGTTTCAAAGTTGGTATTTGAAGTTCGCAATGGATAATACAGACTATGACAGAAAATTGTCCGTGCAGGTCCACGCCTTCGTATAACCCTCATATAACGACACTTCCCGATATTCGGTATTTTAATGATTTTAGCGACATTATTTACCGAAATTGTATCAGATTTGGTATTTGAAGTTCGTAGTGGATTCTACTGCCTATGACAGAAAAGTGTCTTTGCAGGTTTACGTTTTGGTATAGCCCCCCATTGTACCTCCCTATATTCGGTATTTTGATGATTTTAGCTACATTATTCACCATTTTTTTAAGTTTCGCATTTGAATATTGTAATGGTTTATGACAAAAGTTGCCTACGCATGTCCACGTCGTCGCATGGACCCTAATATAACAGCTACATTCGGTATTTTTAAGATTTTAACATAATTATTAATTAAATTTTATTTTGCCAAATTCGTTCCAAATGGTGGAGGGTATTCAAAGTTCAGCGGGTCCATGTATACATTTCCATACTTCTCGATTCTGCAATTAGTTCTTCTTGAGATATAGCGAAAGGACGTGTCTCACCTCACGATCTAAACTAAGATTATCTGTTCTTCCCACACAAAGTCACACTTCTATAAATAAACTTTTTTTTTTGATATTTGCAAACACTTTGGCATTTTCGATTTTTATTGTGTTTGTTTTTATCACTCAACCGGAATGTCGTAATAGGTCGTATGTTGTGTGTTCTCGTCTTCGCACTCAGTTTAGAATAAACAAATGCTAATTTGTATGTAAATTAAACCAAATTGTATTTACTTGTATATATATTTCATATCACCATTCAAATTACTTTATTTTGGGAATTGATAATGATTATACTACTAAATTTTGGTGTGTGTGTGTGTGTATCTGTATCTGTGTATATGCAATTTTCGTGAATTGTATTGAGGCGATGCCCAATGGATTGTCCTTGGTAGAATTAATACTTGCTCTGACCATTCACTCTCCAGTCCTTGGTATTTTTGGTTACATTGGAAAATAGTAGCATCGTTCGTTCTTTGCATTTCAAATTGACCAATGTTGCAGCCTAAGGGAAAGTCATAATTAAATCTTAGATTTGAATGTTCGACAGACTCTTTTGTCCGATTTTCCAATTCGAACAATGCAGTATTGGAATTCGATTTTTCTTTTTGTTCTCTCATTCTTTTGTTCTATTTGAGTTCGATTTTACATGGTGTTTCATAATGTTAATGACTATTTTTTGTAATTGCCAAAAGCATTTAGATTGCATTAGGTACCTCCATGTAAATAAAACATTTTTCAGATTGCTATTGTTCTCAATGTTGTGAAGACGGGAGAGTATATATGTAGATCGTTCTGTAAATA